GTGTGTGTGTGTGTGTGTGTGTGTGTCTGTCTGTCTGTCTGTCTGTCTGGGCATGTACGTGCTGTGGTGCACATGTGGAAGTCAGAGGACAACTTGTAGGAGTCAGCTCTCTCGTTCCACCATGTTGGTTCCTGGGACTGAACTTAGATTGTCAGGCTTGGTGGCAAGAGCCTTTACCTGCTGTGCCATCTCCCCAGTCCCGCTTTTTCTTTTCTCTAGGTAAAGTAGCATATATTGGATGACAGGAAGGGGATAGTGTGACAGGATGCAGGCTTTTGCTATATATAGTCCAGGTTGTCCTGGAAGTCCTGATCCTCTTTCTTCAGCCTCCCAAGGGCCGAGATCACAGGTATCTGCTACTACACATGGTACAGGTTAGAAATTCTGAAGAGAACTGTCACTTTGTACTTGTGTGCAGGGTCGAGTGGAGCTCACAGCAGAAGCTTCTCAGGAGTGTGGGAGCTGGCTGTGGCTCCAAGTACCCACAAGCAGTTGTCACCATGAACTACTGAGCCCAATATCTCTAGTTGCATGCAGACACATGCAGCCTTTCCCCTCCCCCATGCTACTGTCTTCTACAGTGCAGCCTCATGCACTAGACTGAGCCCAGGGGATCTGTGGGCTTCATCATGCACATAGCCAGGCTCCCTCATCTATACCCTCCTCCACGTATAGCCAGGACCACGTGTAACTGCCCAGGTCCAATGGCATTTGCAAATGTCAAATTTACAAGAAACAATCCCAGCTAGCGGACCATGGAGAATACGATGATGTTAAGCAAAATGCACACCCATACACATCCTGATTGCTTAGTAAGGCCAACCACTTCATACTCCAGGACATCAAAGAATGAAAGAGAAGAGGGAGGAAGGTGGAAGGAAAGGAAGATGATGCGCAGAGGCGGCCTGGGTCGAGGAGGCCGTGCCTCTGGTGTCTCCTGCATGCACACACAACTATGCTGCATGCATGCAGACCACTGCGTGCCTGAGGGACAAACCCCACACTAAAGCGACTGTAGCCAGCCACTCTCCTCCAACAGATCCCAGGGAGCCTCATAGGTCACTGCTCTTCCACTGCTTGCCCTCCGCTAGGGCCTCCTGGTGGCACAGCTCCTGTGTAACATGCACACGAGGTTGCTGTGGGTGAGTGTTGTAGGTTACTCGGGCACAGGTGACACCCACACTCCCTCCTTCCTGTCCTGGGTCCTGAAAACATGGCAGTCTCTGTCATCTCATAGGAATTCACTGTAATGTGACAGGTGGCTTGGGAAACAGCTGAATGCAGACTCATCTCTGGCAGAACTGTGCTCCAAGGGCATAAGACACCCTATGTGGCATACCAATGGAAATCTGTCAGCATCTATAAGCATCAACAGCCATTCTGGAAATGACAGGAAGGGACACCAAGGAGAAGCCTGGCTATATGGAAGCAAGGCTCTGGGGCCCACTCATGGTTCTAGCTTCCCAGAAAATTCCAGGTTGGATTGTGGCTGAAAGGCTGTCACTGACAGATGCTTCTCTCACTCTTTCCACCTCTCACTTCCCATTCGTCACCTGAGCCTCCTGGGTTTTCTCTCACAGCACATGCCTGCTGATTGGAGAGAACACTTGATCTTCAGAACACTCAGGGAGATCCCACCCATGTAGAGCCTGGTTCCAGAACATTCATGTGAGGCCAGACTCAGAGGCTCCAGGCACAAGAATCCTTCCTAGTCCCTTTCAAAGTAGGGTTCCTTTTAAGCTGTGGCCTGTGTTCAGGCATGGGGAAAGAGGGGTCTAGGAATGTAGCTAAGAAACTGTCCTGCTGCCAATACAGCTCTTGTTCTTTCTGAAGCGAGGTGGACTGCCACCTGCACACCATATATCATAAGTCACCATGTGATTAGCACATCCCGTTAGCACCCACACTGACATGCACACTTCTGCAAAGCCACCATTCAGGAGCTCACACAGACCTCTGCTGACAGAGACAAGCTCACCATATACATACAGAGTAATGCACACAGCAAAGTGGCCCAGAAAGGGCCTAGACAGCACTCACCGGGAGGAGGTGAAGAGAGATCCATTAACTCCTCCAAATGTGGACAGGGCAACAGAAATGGGCATGATCCAGGCCATGACTCCTAGGAGCTTCTCTCCAAAAGTCTGAGAGAGAAAACAAGGGATAAGAGGAAGGAAGAGTTACAATGCCACACTCCAGCTCGCTTGCACCCAGCTGAGGGACTGTGGTCTCCCATCTTCCCTGCTGATTCTCTCTGGCTAAGCTCCTTGAGTGCCCAGAGCCAGACCACCACTCCATGGGGACAGTTATATGTCTGGACACAACACATACTGTTAGATAATTAATGAGGAAGATGGTGATAATGACACTGAACTTTTTGTTTTATCTTTTTTTTTTTCAAATTCATTATTTTTATTTTATGCATACACATGTATTGCCTGTGTGTAGGTAAGTGCACCTGTGTCATGCAATGCCTGTGGAGGACAGAAGAGGCTATTGGATCCCCTGGAACTGGAGTTATGGACAGTTGTCAGCTGCCATGTGGGTGCTGGGATTTGAACCTGGGTCCTCTGCAAGAACAGCCAGTGTTCTTAATTGCTGAGCCATCTCTCCAGCCCCTTGTTTTATCTTTTTGAGACAGGGTCTCCCTGTAGCCCCAGCTGGCCTGGAACTCACCATGTTTACCAGGCTGGCCTTGAACTCACAGAGATCTGCCTGCCTCTGCCTCCTGAGTGCTGGGATTAAAAGCATGAGCCACCATACCAAGCTTGATTTATTGCTTAAAAATTTTTTTGATTATTTTATTTTATGTGTATGAGTGTTTTGCCTGCATGTATGTAAGTGCACCTATGTTATGCAATGCTCACAGAGGCCAGAAGAAGACATCTGATCCCTTGGAACTGGAGTTGTGGGCAGTTGTTAGCTGCCATGTAGGCTCTGGGAACTGAACCTAGGTCCTCTGCAAAAGCAGCCAGTGCTCTTAACCACTTAGCCATCTTTCCAGCCCCATTGTCCTTTATGAAGGAGGAAACTAAAGCCTTAGTGATCTATGCGTTACCTCAGATTGTACATCTGGAAAATGGAGGGGCTAAGAACAAAAGCCAGGTGGTATGAATTCAAGCCTTGTGTACATTACATATTTCTCCATCCATGGAGAAACACAGGCTTATGAGTCAGATCTAGATTTAAATCCTAGCCCCAACCTCAAACAAGGTGTGTAATTTTTTCTCATTGCTGGTGATTAAACCCAAGGCCTTGCACATACTAAGCAAGTGCTTTACCCCTGAGCTGTTCTTGCTCAGGCCTGGTTTTGTAATTTTTGAGCCTCAGCTTCCCATCTATAAAATAAAGACGAACCCTAGTCAGAGTTGCTAAAGTCACAGAACAGATTATGTTAGTAGGAAAATAAGGACCAGTTATTAGTTTAACAGAGGAAGAAGTGATTGTGAACCTATAGACTGGTCTTCATGTACTGAAGGCATATAAATTGTAGGGAGCAGCCTTCCTAGATTCTCTGAGCTAAGCCTACAGCATGTGACTCCAGAGGCACTGTTGAGAATAGATGTGCTGCTGTGCATGGAAGGCTGCTGGCCAGAACAGGCTGCATCAGGAGATGGTGAGGCCTCTTTTGTTTTCAGTCTTCAAAGATGACATGACACTGTTTGGTTAGAAGCCTGGTGAAGACACAGCATGACTCCAAGGCCTTCCTTAGATACCAAGGACCCCATGATCTCTTTTCCCCAAAAGAACATAAACCACACTGGTTTCTGAATTATTTCTCTCTGTCTCTGTCTCTCTTTCTGTCTCTCTCTGTCTCTCTCTGTCTTTCTGTCTCTCTTTGTCTCTGTCTCTCTTTCTGTCTCTGTCTCTCTGTGTTTTGCTGGGGATGGAACACGGGCCCTTGCACATGCTACCACTAAATTACATCCTCAATCCTTCAACACTTTTCCCTCATGAGAGAAACAATCAGCTTGTATGATTCCCAGAGAAAGAAAGAGAGGCAGAGAGAAATGGTGTGCCTTGTGCAAGCATATGGTGAACAGCAGCCTGTCTGCTTGTATAATCTGTACGTGAAGAGTGTCTTAGACCAGGAGTTGGTGAACTTGTTCTATAAAGCATCGAGGTATTAGATATTTCAGCACCACAGGCAATACTGTCTCTGCGGCAACCACTCAGCCAAGGCAGCTGTTTTGGAATCAGCCCAGCCTTTATTTTGCTCCTAGGTATTTGAAGATACCCTGTTGAGGACACATGTAGATTCTGCCCTGAGGACTTGGGATAACTTCCAGTCCCACAAGGCACTGGATCAGGGGAAAGTGAGTGGGCTAAGCAGGCAAATCTATGTCAGCATTCTGGGTTTGAGACCTGGAGTTTGATTTCTTACCACAGCGACTGCGTTTGATGCCAGCAGCTCCTGGGGGGACATTGCTGTGACATACGCGACATTGGCAAAGACATACACAAATGTGACCAGTGGGATGGAGATGAAGATGGCTCTGGGAAGGTTCCTGTAGAGGGAGAGGAGGTGAGAGAGGAGCCTGTAGAGAAGAGTCTGTTCTGCCAAGGATCTACATGAGCCTAGGACAGCAGTTTCTTGGCCCTTTCTCTCCCTGGGAGGTGGGTTTTGGCTCAGTTGGGGCAAGGTAATTTAGGGGAAATGAAATAGCTTAGGCAAGAAATATGTTCCACACCTGCTGATCTTGTCTTGATTCAGCTCTGGACTATGTACCCTTTTTGTTGCCTCCAAACACAAGGTCTGGCCTGTCTCCAACAGGTCAAATGCTGAGGCTTCTCAGGACAGTTCACTGTTTACAGCAGTATTCTGCAGAACTTTCATATCTGTAGCTTGCCCTAGGATAGTCATAGGATCCTTTCCCTTCTCTTGGCAGGGTAGGTTGTAAATGCTCAAGCTCCTGTGACATGAACTATTGCTTCAAGATAAACGAGAACATGGCCAGGATAGGGGTGAGAAGTGGGCAGAGAAGCCTCTGTTGCCTTTTTCCAGCAGCAGATGCTGTGTGGTTTAAGGGTGAACAAAAGGGCTGGACTAATTCAACTCACTTGTAGGGATCCACAAGTTCCTCAGTCACATAATTAAGAAAGTTCCAGCCTCCATAGGCAAAGGAGCCCTGGAGGAAAGCCAGAGCGACGAGGCCGATGTCAGGTTCTTGGAAATTCTCAAATGCGTTCTTTGGCTCCAGCCAAAAGAATTCTCCTGTGGATACAACAGGCAGGAGGCCACTCAGAGAGACAAACTCAGACCCAGCAGCCCCTGGTCTGTCCCATGCAGGGTCTCCCTCCTTGTGATGATAGCCAGCTCTCTGTCTAGTCTCCAGTGAACCCACTGTATGGGAAAAATAGGGCTAATAGGAGTAGGGAAATCAAAGTCTAGGACGTCCCAGGACCTGGGAATTGAGTTTAAGGAGGGGTTCACATTCAAAGCACAGCTCAGAATGTTCCTTTTTAAAAAGTCAATGTTGGGAGCTGGAGAGATGGCTCAGTGATCAAGAACACTGATTGTTCTTGCAGAAGACCCAGGTTCAAATCCCAGCACCCACATGGCACCTAACAACCGCCTGTAACTCCAGTTCTAGGGGATCCGATGGCCTCTTCTGTCCTCTGAGGGCATTGCATGACATGGATGCACTTATCTACATGCAGGCAATACATACATACACATAAAATAAAAATAATAAAATATTTTTAAAAAGTCAACGTTTTATGTGCTTGTATGAAAGTGTACCCATGCATGCAATGCCTGCAGAGGTTAGAAGAGGGCATCCCCTGGAACTGGAGTTACAGACAGTTGTTAGCCACTGTGTGGGTTCTGGGAACTGAACCCAGGTCCTTTGCAAGAGTAGCCAGTGCTCTTAACTGCTGAGCCATTTCTCCAGGCCCCAAAAGGCAGTGCTATTTGAACAGCAAGGCTATGGTAAACTGGGAGGCCAGAGTCACCATCAAGGACTACCTTCCTTGACATATGAAGAAAGCATCAAGAACAACAAATTGTCAAACATAAGCTTCTAGAGCATTCTGTCACTCCGAGATTATTCTGTTTGCTTTGTTGACCCCACCTCTTTCCAGGTATGCCTTCTCTGAGTCCTTTAGTAAAGAGCCTTTATACTGTTTTCCCAGTACATCCTACAGTTTCTGAACACTGTGACTCCTCAAAAAAAAAAAGTTACTGTGCTGAGGATGTAGCTTAATAGCAGAGTGCTTGCCCAGCATGTGCAATGCCCTGAGTTTGAGTCTCCACAAGAAAAAAAAAAAGCCTGCTGGGTAAATGAAGTTAGAATAAAATACAGTAAGTGGTGACTATGTTACTTAGTCATCTGGAACCACGATTAGGACAGGAAATAAGGAGATCAATGGCTTCAGGAGAAAGAATTGAGGCCAGATTACAAGTTATTCATGATTTTTGAAAAGATACTACGGTGATTTCCCCAAGTGTAAATTCCTAAAAACAATATAACCTTTTAAAGGACTTAATCAAACTAAGATCACCAGGGACATCATATAGCAGAAACTTGTTTCCTGGGAAAAACCCAGGCTCTCCACTGTGCTGTCAGTACTTGCGGGTAGGTGGAAGGTCTTCCAGTTTGTCATCTCATTTTCTCCCAGAGGCAGTGATGCTATGCAGAGTCTAGTGGTGCTGCGGGTCCCATGGAAACCAAATACAGATCAAATCCGATGCGGAATGTTGGCAGGGGCCCAAGAATGTAGAGCTCTCTCTCTCTCTCTCTCTCTCACAGAGATTGTAACTTTTGAAATGTATAGCAAAATTCTCTTCTGTTCTCTATTTCAAGATATGGACAAAGGACACTAGAAAATGTAGGGAGCTTCCCTGGGGTTGGGGCAAATGGCAATCGAGTACAGAGATCTGGGGTTCCTACTTAGCTGTGCTAGTCATGATGTGAGTATGGAGAGATGGAGCGTCTAGAAGACGGGGTGTGGGGAGTGGACACCTCACACCTAACCCTGAGGAAAATAGCTGCTCATCCCCTTTGTCAAGCAAGTAAAGAACAGAAGTCAGTCAAAGCCACACCTGGGAAACCTCAGGGTGCATCCACACAAGGGCTGGAAAGCTGTGTAGGGTCCTAGGTTCCCCAGACATTTACCTTTGCATATCTGCACAACACCCATGATGATGATGAGGGCCAGGGCCAGGAGCTTCCCAGCTGTGAAGACGTCTTGAACCCGGGTGGCCCACCGCACACTGGAGCAGTTCACCCATGTGAGGAGCACTGAAATGACAGCATCAGATGCGCCCTCAGAGGCTGCAGGATGCCGGCTGCACACAGGAACAGTGTCTAGAAACTTCACCTGGGTTAATAGGCCACAATGGGGATGATGTGCCCAGTATTAGAGCTTGATCAGACCCTTTCCTGTTCAGGGCTGGAAGCCAGAAGCAGGCAGGAACTGTAGGCACTGGCTCTGTGAGAGGAAGACTCACTTGTAAGCAGGGCACAAGTATGGATTTAGGATTCAAGTTAGCATCTGTCCAAGGAGATCCCTGAGCAGCTAATGTGATCTTGGACAGCAGCTCCCTGAGCCCGATTTTGAGGCCACAGAGGTTTTTCTTGTAACTTAGATTTATTTGAAGCATACAAGTCACCTTAAAAATAAAATAACCTGTGCATGGTGGTACACACCTTCTATCCCAGCACTAGGAAGGCAGAAGCAAGCAGACCTCTGTGAGACTGAGTCCAGCCTGGTCTACATAGTGAGTTCCAGGCCAGCTGGGCTACACAGGGAGCTCCTGTCTCAAAAACAAAACAAACAAAATAAAACAAATAAAAATCAGAACAAAAAATCTTGTGGCCTCAGCTTCTTTCTGAAGTGCCCTGAATGACAGCTGTATGCCACCACATCCAGCTCAAAATTCATCTTTACAAGAATTCATTTTCATGAGATCTAACAAATATATTTAAATTGCTTAATCACTACCACATTCCAACACTCCAAAAACTTGCCCATGTTTTCTGCTCCTTTGGACTTCCCCTATTGCTGACAACCATTAATTTGATTTTTTTTTGTCCCTATAGTTTTGCCTCTTCCAAAAGGAACTATATAATATGTAGGCTTTTGGATCTGGCTTCTCTTTTTTATTTTTATTTTTTTTGAGACAGGGTCTCCCTATAGCCCCAAGCTGGCCTTGAACTCACAGAGATCCCTTGCCTCTGCTTCCCGAGTGCTGGGACTAAAGGTGTGTACCACCACACCTGGCTTGTAAGAATACACCTGACATAATGCTTTGAGATCTGCTCATGTGCTATATTAGCAATGCACTTTTTAATTTTAAAATACTATTCCATTATATAAATAGAGCAGTTGTTTTCTATTCTGTTGGACATTCAGGTGCTGCCAGCTTGGGAGTTATTATGCATAGAAAGCAATGAGGTCAGGTGTGGTGAATCAGGCCCATAATCCCGACATATGAGAGACGAAGCAAGAGAATTGCCGGGAGTTCAAGACCAACCTGGGTTACATAGCAAGTTCCAGGCTAGCCTAGGCTACAGTGTGACATCAAGTCTCAAAAAACTAAAATTTGGTGCTGAGCAGGTAGAGCACTTGCTATTCCTGCAGAGCACCCAGGTTTGGTTCCCAGCACCCACAGAGTGGCTAACAACTGTCTGTAACTACAGTTCCAGGGGATCCAATGCCCTCTTCTGGCCTCTGTGGGCATTGGATGCACGTGGTGCATTGACATGCAGGCAAAACATTCACACACATAAAATAAAAATAGGGGCTAGAGAGATAGTTCAGCAGTTAAGAGCTCAGGCTGCTCTTATAGAAGACCAGGGCTAACAACTGCCCCTAGATCCAGATCCAGGGAATTCAGTGCCCTCTTCTGGTCTCCTCAGGCATTGCACAACATAGGTACACTTACAAACATGCAGGCAAAACACTCATACACATAAAATAAAGCCCCCAAACCCCAAACTAAAATCTTCCAATGAACTGCCCAATTGTTGGGACCCTCCTGTATGGATGCTGGAACAGAACTTAGGTCCTCTGGAAGAAAACAAACTTTTTTTTTTTTTTTGTCTTTTTTGAGACAGGGTCTCCTTGTAGCCCTAGCTGTCCTGGAACTCACTATGTAGACCAGGCTGGCCTCAAACTCACAAAGATCCCCCTGCCTCTGCCTCCCAAGTGCTGGGAAAAAAGGTGTGTGCCACCATGCCCAACCAAAAACCAACTTTTTAATTAATTAATTAATTAATTAATTAATTAATTATTGGTCTTTTTTGAGACAGGGTCTCCCTGTAGCTCCAGCTGTCCTGGAACTCGCTATGTAGACCAGGCTGGCCTTGAACTCACAGAGATCTGCCTGCCTCCGCCTTCTGAGTGCTGGGATTAAAGGTGTGCGACACCACATCTGGCTTCAACTTTTTAATTTTTTAAAAATATTTTATTTATTATTTTAATTTTATGTGTATGCCTGTATTGCCTGTATGTATATAAGTGCACCATGTTGTGCAATCCCCGTGGAGGACAGAAGAGACTGTTGGATCCCCTGGGACTGGAGTTACAGACAGTTGTTAGCTGCCATGTGGGTGCTGGGATTCGAATCCGGGTCTTCTGCAAGAACAGTCAGTGTTCTTAATCGCTGAGCCATCTCTCCAGCCCGAGAACCAACTCTTAACTGCTGAACCATCTCAGCAGCCCTCTAAGTCTTTGAGTAGCGTTTTCATTACGCAGGGATAGGGTTCTGGTCATATGGTAAATGCACATTTAGTCTAACCAGAAACCGCCAAATGTTTCCCAATAGCTGATGACAGAGGCAAGTGTTTGGGTGCTGATTTGCCAGCTATCTATGTTCTCTGGTGGCTCAGAGATGGGCTGGGGTGGGGGTGCTTCCATCTCCATCCCCTTACCTAGGAGTCACAGGGTTCCCAACAACGTGGAACCTGCAGGGCTGGCCGAGTGCTCAGAGGCCAAATGCTAAGAAGGATGGGCTCTATCCTGCTGCGCTGCCCGGGCAATTCACTGGAGCTAGGGCTTGCGAAAGCATGAGTCTTAATTTCCTGATGGGAGGAAAAGCAAATTCTCTGGCTTCTCCTTTTCCTTTTTTTTTTTTTTTTGGTCTTTTTGAGACAGGGTCTCCCTATAGCTCCAGCTGTCCTGGAACTCACTATGTAGACCAGGCTGGCCTTGAACTCAGAGATCCGCCTGCCTCTGCCTCCCAAGTGCTGGGATTAAAGGTGTGCGCCACCACGGCCAGCTTGCTTCTCCTTTTCCTAAAAAGAGGCCAGGACACCCTCTAGTGCTCAAAAGTTACACATCGTATATGTGAAAGCATGGGACAATTTCTGTTTTGCACACCTGTCACTGGGGCTCTGACTTCACGTGAGTGGCTGATTAAGTTATATTAACATTTGATCCTTAAATTGTACTTTCATTTTCCAAGTACTTTCCAACTTTGGGGGATGCTGAGAACATGTCAGCAGGATAGGACATGCATTGTCAGCAGGATAGGACAAGCATTATCAGTAGGATGGACTGTGATCAGCCACTTCTGATCTTCCTCCTTGCATTGTTTCTGTTTGACAAACTCCTTTTTTCAAGATCTACCTGTTCCATGAAGCTTTGTATTTTTTTCTTCTTCTTCTTGAAACAGGGTCTCCCTGTAGCCCCAGTTTACACGGAACTGGCTATGTAGTCCAGGCTGGCCTCGATCTCACAGAGGGCCACCTGCCTCTGCCTCTGCCTCCTGAGTGCTGGGATTAAAGATTTGTACTACCATGCCCAGCCTGAAGCTTTGTAATTTTACTGAATCCTGACAACGTGCTTGCAAGGTTAGTTATATCAGCTACGTTTTATAGACAGGGTACAAAGTTTGTCATTTCTTGCTGGGACAATTTCAGAGTCCTTTGTTTATACCTCATTGTGGTATCTTTTTTATTCATACTAAAATTATCTGTTAGCCGGGCATGGTAGCACACACCTTTAATCCTAGCACTCCAGAGGCAGAGGTGAGTGAATCTCTGTGAGACTGAGGCCAGCCATGTCTACTTAGTGAGTTATAGGCCAGCTGGGGCTACAGGGCGATCCTGTCTCAAAAAAAACAAAAACAAAAAAATTTAAAAAATTATCTGGTGCCCAGTATAGTGGTGCACACCTTTAATCCCAGCACTTGGTTGACAGAGGCAGGTGGATTTCTGTGAGACTGAGGTTAGCCTGATCTACCTAGTGAGTTTTAGGCCAGTTGGGACTACAGGGAGACTCCGTACCCCCTCTAAAAAAAAAAAAAAAAAAATTATGTGAGACAGGAGGACTGCTATGAGTTCAAGGTCTCCCTAAGCTACATATCAAGTCCTAGGTAGGTTGGGGCTACACATTGAAATTCTGTCTTTAAATAGTAAATAAATAAAGAAATATTTCTTTTTCCTTCTTTTTTTCTTTTTGTTTTCACATTGTGCTGGATAGCTTTAGTGTCAACTTGACACACCTGGGTTGAAGGAGCCTTAATTGGGGAATTTCCTCTATTGGACTGGCCTGTGGCCATGTCTGAGGGGCATCTTCTTGATGAGTGATGTGGGCGGGCCCAGTCCACTGTGGGTGGTGCTGCCTCTGTGGGCCTGTGTTGCATAAGAAAGCAGGCTGAGCAGAGGCCAGGGGAGCAAGCCAGTAAGCAGCGCACGGCCTGTGCTCCAGCTCCTGCTTCCAGGTTCCTGCTGAGTTCCTACCTTGGGCTCCCTGATGAACTGTGACCTGGGAGATGTAAGCTGAATAAACCCTTTCCTCCCCAAGTTGGTGTTGGTCAGAGTATTTTGTCACAGCAATGACGAACAAACTAGGACACACATGTTTAACTCCCAGACATATCTTTGGTGCCTACAAATAGTAGATTCTCAACAAATATTTAATAAAGGAAGAAAGCACCATAATCCATTAGATCTCCATTCTTACTCTATGCATTCCACAGTGCATATCAATCTCCCCTGTTCCCTTAGAATCTCATTAATAGGGGATACAATCCCTAGTTGCTTTCATAGAAGCAGAAGAGTAACAGGAAGTTTGACATTCAAGAGCAGAAACTCCTGACTCCTCACGCAAGAGCTATTAGCTAAGCTGGAACCATTGAAGGAGAATCAAAACATGTTGTTGAAGGAAAGGTTTTAAATGTCTCAACAGGGAGAACATTTTGTAAATACCAGAATGTTCCAGATGGACAGAGATCTTGATAAATACACATTTGGTTATCTTACTCAATTCAATAAGGATTTCAGGAACACCGTGC